GCACGACAGTAATCCATGCGCTGGCATAAACATGCGACGCCTTCTTCTCGAGACTTCTGGCGTGGTGGGGCCATTTCTGAAAGGACAGGCCTCAGCGTGAAGCCTTGTCTCTGCTCGACCAGATCAGGATGATATGATCTGTTGATGCAATGCTCGCGTAAGTATCTGATTGGCTTGCGTCCGATGTCCGGCAGTGGATGCGATTTGTCTTCGTGCCTGTCTGGCTTCTGATTGTTGCGTTGTGAATTTCGGGGAGTGTGCATGGGAAGCTGCTCCTGGGCAGATCCTGCCCTCTACTTGGTGCCAAGTGGATGGCCCCACATGGCCGCACTCCACTCAAGACGGCTGCCAGGTCCTTGACGGGCAGGGCCTTCAGTCTTCGCACTACCTGCATACAAGCGAGGTCGCGCATTGCGCTTCAGCTTTGCTTCTTTAAGTGTGTTCGGACCTGCATGACTGCATCGGTTCACCAACCATCTCTCTTCTGTCTGCTTCCTGCCGAGCTACATCAGACCCAGGGATCAGCGTCCAGGTCTCATGTGGGGCGCCCTTCATCCTGCCAGCAGACACTCCCAGCAGAGACTCTCCGAGCGTATCCCGCGACAACCCTCAAGGCGACGGGCTTATTCCACTTCCGCGCACAGTTAACACTCATGCGGCACATGCGCCTGATTGACACATCAGCTTCCCGTAACCCTGTCCCCAGGCCTCTGCGCCGCACGGTTCTTTGCATCTTCCTTGTCGTTGGCCTCATAAATGTCCTTCAGCACGTCTTTTTGGGAACGAGCAGTGCGCCCCGGCTGCGTACTTGTACAGAGAGCAGAGATTTGCAACTGGCCTGGACGAGGAATTTCCCTACGATTCCAAACACCGTCCTGGAATTTCTGGCTGATGATGGCAATGGGGAGTGCGATGAGCAGCAACCCTGCTATCATTGCCATCATTCCTCCCGGGCATGTGGAGGCTGCAGGCAGTTTTCGGGAGTTCTAGACTCTTGGTTAAGGTCTCCATCACTTTGGGCTTTTGGGTCAGGCGAGGCAGCAGCGAAACGCTTATCAGGCCTTTGCCAACTGCATCTCCCGCACAAGTCTGCAAGCAAGCAGGCCTACGCATTTGCCCTGGACCGTCTTCGGATACAGGTCACCGTAGCCTGCAGGGCAGCAAGCCATAATTGTGAAGCACCATGACGCAGCAAGTGACACCCCGCCAACCCTGCTGTTCTCAGAAGCCAGACACAGTGAGATCAGTCAGGCCTAGCGAGGTCAACGTGACAACCGCCCACCAACATGCATTGACGATGCTGGGGAAATCCAAGGGCGAATTGTCCTGGATGCATCACGACGGTATGTCTTTCGCACGGATTGCTTCTTTGAGTCCTCTGAGCAGCACAGGCCATGAGAGGGGGATACACCGCGATTGTAAGTGTCATTGCACTCCTTGGTCAACATCGCATCAGTTGAAGGCAAGCATACGTTCCGACCAGAGCTGGGGCACTGCTAGGTACACGGTCAGCTCCGTAGCATTAAACTCATCGCGAAGAGGACAGCTGAGCCTGCACGGCACTGCTCATGGCTTGCATGCTGAAGAGGCTGATCACTGCTACTCGCCGTTGAGGACATGCTTTGTGTCAGGGCTGCACGGCCTCTCCAAATAGAAAATAGTGCTGGAAAACATCACGACGCCAATTCCTCGGCTCGGCTCAAGCGAAGGCTTCCAGCAACGATGCCGCGAGACCAGACAAGATCACCATATCTGCCAACAAGTCTCCTAAGAGAAAAAACAAGACAGAGATCGCCTGTCTTGAGTCCACCACGGCCTCAAGCTCACATCGGCTGGCAAAGGCAGGTTAGACGACTTTCGGATGCTTCGATATGGCCAAAACCTACGCTAAGGACCTCATGCACCAAGAAGGACAATACTGACGAACCCTTGAAAGCTCACGGAAGATCATGCAAGTGCAGCGTTGTCCAGGCAAGTGAAAGACCCCGCAGAGACTGCGATCCTAGAGCCCGAGAGAGAACAGCCCTAGAGCAGCGGCGGCCTTCCACATTATCTGCAAGCCGGCGGCGTAGCGGCCTCAACTGGAAGCACATCCCAGCTCGTGGCTTCTGTCGGGCTTCGTCATGCACAAGAAAAGCGGACAGCATCCAGTGCTTGTAACTTCGGGAATCCTGCCCACACGCCCGGCCTAGTTTGAAAACACGAAGAACTCGAATTAGTCGGACCACCTGCCGTGACCAAGAACCGGCGGACCCAGCCCCCTTTGCGACTCATTGCAAGGAGACGTGGTCTCGGCTGACCATCCCGTGCCTTGAAGGACTTAAGCACGGCGGTATTGGTGAACCCAGCATTTCGCAGAACGACCTCTACCTTAACAAGCGGACAAGAGGTGGAGCAGTCTTCCGCTCCTCTGTGACGTTGGCTTCCTTTTGCTTTTCCCAGGCTACAAGGAGTTTCCATAATCTCAAGCTTAGCGACATAGAAAGGGAGTAGAGCCACGAGATCTGCAACGCTGCTAGGTGCCAGGATGAAGCTCACCTCAGCTTGGAGCACACTCGTCGCACTGAAGAGAAGGTGAAACGTGCCAGAATAACACCCAATGATTTTCAACTCACTAAAAAGCCCATGCTGGCCTCTTCAACAGCCGAGCCCCCCGCTACCGGAACACCCGCAAAGCGGCAGGTCAATGCCAGCGTTAGATACTCCACCTTGGCCGGCTCGAAATTGGCAAAGACATTTGGACACTGTTGGCCTGTGGCTAGAAACACCTGGTGGACTCTGAACATCTCTGAACACGAGTTGACTGTAGTAGCAGCCCTGTCAAGCTCTGCACGGCCTGCACTTGACACAATCTGGCTTGCTGCCAAAGCTCTGTGAAGACCTGAGCTAGAGGTCGCAGAAGGCAAACCGTCAAAGAGCACCCTAGATACCCGAGCCAAGAGCCAATCCAGGAGCACCCTTGGAGGAGTCGTCATGAATCCAAAATGCTCACTACACGCACGGCACCGCGGCCGGAGCATAACTCGGGAGGCGGGACTCGCGCTGCCGAACTCGCTGAATCGCCCTCCGGCCACAGTGCCGCGCAACGCCGTTCGTGCTTTCACATCAGCCCCTTGTACTCCGCCTTCCGAAATCGCGTGCGACTCGCGCTTCCACTTCCACAAACCGTGCTGCTGCCAGTGCACGACATTGGGTTTTACACTAAACTTTTAAACTCGACGGCCAGGGGGTATGTGGGACTGTGGTGTGGCGAGAAGTCGATTGCAGTAGAGAATTTTGCGCACCACGACGCACCACCCTACAAAATAGAGTGGGGCAACCGCCAGGTGCGCCTACTGCAGCCGCCACGTGGGAACAGCGATCCAATCCTTTACTACTCAAGAGGTAAGAACCTCATCCATAGTGTTACCACACTGCTTGGTGGAAAAATGCACCTTGCCGAATGCAATCCTGCAACTTGTGGCACCTTATGGGTTGGACAAGCCGCGACCGTGCATATCACCTCTACAAGCGGCCACAACTCCGGATTCCTGAGTTGCTGCTTCCATTTGAACTGATCGTTCCACGCATAGTGACGTCTCCACTATCTCTACATGCCGAGTTTCATCTCGTAGAAGAGCCGGTCCGTTTCCAGCACGAAGCCGCAAATGGAAGCCACAGTGAAAGCGACGATCACAATTGACCTCATGCGGACCAGACGAAGGTTCGCGAGGGACTGACTGCCGAGCCGTCTTTTTTTTGCTAGGTCTAGGTCTTTCACAAGTCTCACCTTACCCAACCCGGCCGTGCCACACGATCTGGGCAGCGGAAGAGCTACCAGGATCACTCAGCGTCACGAAGATCTTCCTGAGTGCTTCACCCGGGCGAGCCATGAAAGTACTGCTCCAAGCTCGGGACACGTCATGCAACCGTTCCGAAATGATAACAAGTTGCTCTGCAGTTGTTTTACCCTCCTCCTCCATCCTCCTCTGCGTCGATGATACATATGTAAGACCTGGGCATTCTCCCTTTTGTTGTGGGAGGGCTTCCAGCGCGAAGTGTGCAGTCTCAGGGTCAGGCCCAGGGTGTGGGTGTAAAACGGCCTGCAAAGACAAAGCCCAGGGTCGCGTCAGAAAAAGAGCAGCACAGCTTCGGGGGGTAGACTCGGCCTGTCCGAGTCCCGAGATGCTTTCGGACTTGGGCCGTCGTCTGGCTTTCTTGTGGAACCTACACACAAGACTTCGAGAACGTGGACCTGTCAGAGCCGCTGATACCGCGAGGCCTGCGGCCTTTCTCCAGCAACTTTGGATGACTCTTGCTGCATCTTCTGCCGAAGCTGACTCAGTCTTGTCCTGGAATCAATAACTAGCTGCAAGGCTACGGCTCCACCAGAAAGCCCACGAGAGCTGCTACCGGTAAGTGGTCCTCATCCTTGGAGGTCTTCCTGGAATTCCTCGCGAGACCCGTCTTCCGAAGCACAGGTGGGTGAGGGGTAGCAAGCACAGCACAGCATGGCATATAGCAATCAGATGCATCTCGGCTCGCTGCTGACGGCGAAAATGGATTGGTTGCATACAAGGCGGACACGTGACCTCACAAGCCACCGAAGCCAATATTGTTGCAGCTGGAGCTGAAGCACATGCCCAGTGATGCGCCTGCGCCTTACCAGCTCGCAAGCCAGTCACCCATGGCTCCCTTCACCCCACCTCTTTCCACATCATCTTGAAAGGACAGCTGCGGCACAAAGGAACTGTCACGACTTCATGCGATTGTGAGTGGCACGGCCTGCCACCGCTCACCCTCTTCTGCTGGATTCGGTGCCAGCCAAGACTACGCGCCAGCACTCATAAACTCCAACAGCGGAGGCGTAGAGTAAGTACTGGTCACAACATTGAAAGCAGGCAACTGCGAAGCAGAAATGGGATGAAATGGGCACTGCAAGACGCCACAAGGCTTGGCTCCGCCTCCTTGGAACTGGATCCGAAGCCCCAAGATGGAGCGGTGAAGCGCAGCCTCGATTGCACGACACTGTTGCGTCAGTCGCGTGCAGCGGCTGCCGTCGCAAACAAGACATCGAATGGAGCATGCCGAAGCTAAGGCTGTCGCGGACCATCGCGAGAATTGTATCGTCCGGGCCCTGGCATCTGCAACTTGCGACCAATCCCTGCTTGCAACGGAACAGAAGGCCAGGAGGAGGCGTTGCATTCCTACCGGCCGAAAAACCAAAAAAATCCTGCCATTTTGTACGTTTGGGAAGATCCAAACCAACCACATGCGATGTCGCGGAAGCAGGGAACTGCTCAACCAAACTGTATTGTAATTTCTATCCCTGCCCCATACAAGCAACACTCACATATACACGTCTCTCTCACAGTAGCCTGGCCCAGTTCTGGATCGGAATTTCGCAAGAATGTCTCGAGCTCATGCTCTGAGGTTCTAGAATTGTTTTGTTTGCAACAGTGTTGCAACTTCTGGTGTGGAGAAAGCAGCTGCTTCATGCTTGTAGGCAGCGATCGTCCTGCATCTCATCTTCCAAACTCTTCCACGGGGCCCCATACTACGTGCTGCTGGCCAGTCTGAGTAGTGCATCTTTGGATGCGCTTGTTCGCATGTCTGTGTACGTAGGCAGAGATTTTGCACCGGAATCCCGTGAATACGAGTGCGACACTGCGGTGAGAAGCTCTTTGATCATCTGCACTGGCTCGCAGGGAGTCGCACCTGGTGGAAGGGAGGAGCTCCTGTTGTCCTTCGGAGAGCGCATGCTCCAGGAAGGGTCGCCTTAGGCACAAGCACCGAAGGCTTCTTTGCGAATTGCAGATTCCCTCCGGTCCCTTCGGCTGCAGCTTCTGTACTATTATTATTATTGTTGTTATTGTTATTGTTATTATTATTATTATTACTATTATTTTTTTTTTATCATTATCATGATTATCATTATCATTATTATTGTTATTATATCCTTTTTTATATTTTGTTAAATATAATTATTATTGTTATTGTTTTTATTTTTATTACTACGGTAGCTTACTTCTTGCTCCGCAACGGGGCTCAAGTGATCTCTGAGAGGCAGAATAAGCCCCACACATGCATTGCTGTTGTTGTTGCCTCACGCACAAACCTCGCTACAACCCTCCCAACGCGCCTCGTACGTCCATAATTCGCAGCATTACCTATGCTTCCCGAACGAAGGCCGGGGTTGTGAAACCCGTACGCAGCCTTTCCAGACTGTGGCCGAGTATTGGTTACAGTAGAACTTAAACTCGGCCGCACAGCTGTATACCACGTTGAGGAGCTGTGGCGGTAGCACCACTTTCATTAGCATCGCCCTTGTGGCAATCAATCCGAGAACGAAGGCGGTGACGTAGCGAAGAAGTCGGAAACGAGAGCAACGAACTGCAAAACGATGGAAGAACGTGTCCATGCCACATCATTCACGAAGCCCTGCAGATAGTTGCATGCTGGTCACGTTTGTAGCGGCCATTGATGTCACCTGAGCTCTCTGCAACTGCGATCAGTCAACTTCACAATTCCTCGCACTTCTGGTTCAGACAGGTCCGACAACAGTGTCTCGGAAGCCGTTCGGTACTTAATGCAGACCAGCTGCGATGTGGGTCGTCGGAGGAATAATGACCGACCCTCGGGAGATTACATCTGTCTACACGGCCTTGCATCGCGGTCACCAGTAGCTACAGTGTCTCGCGAAGAAGCTGAGCTTGTGGCTCGGTGCCTGATGGCTTAACTCCTGACAACCTCCCCGGGAAGGACCACTTGGGTGCCTTCGGTCTGCAATCGCGTCAGCCAACACTACGCATATTCTCGGTGAGGCTGCGCCCGCTTCGCATTAGTGGCAGCATTAGACTCTGAAGCGTTTGAGCCTTCTTGTAGGTGGTGTGGCAGGTTATCAGCTCATGGTCCGGGGTCGGCTGCAGCTCACCAGGTGTCGGGTGATGCTGCGGCATTGCGCAGGAGGTGTGCACGGGCACCTGACGCCCACAGGTCTGAGCCAAAGAGCTCCTTTTTGCGCGCTGCAGACTCATGATGTACCCAGCACACTCAACATGTGATCGAGGCTTGCAAATGCCGGCTGACGCGTTGAGGCGACCTTCTGGCACTCGGATTTTGCAAATTTGCTGTTGGCGAAATTGGCGGCATCACTGTCACTGTCCAGGTGATCAGACTGACGTGCAATTACGTGCTGGACCGGCCGAGAACTATGAGGGGGAAACTGCAGCACGAAAAACCTGCAACCTCTGGAGTCTCAACATATGCAAAGTAGCAGCTGATGCTTCCAGCACAGCGCACACCTGACCACAGCTGTCCGACAGCAATGTTGATGAGTCCGCACTCAGGCAGAGCAGAGGCTGCCCTGGGCTGGTGAAGACAGTGTGCACGACTGCTCGTGCCCACGTGAAACGACTCGTCTAGACGTCGTAAAAAGCTAGTGTAGTGTGTGGAGTTTGGCTGAAAAGAGGGCATGGCCGGAGTGAGGGGTTCGGGGAAGTATGAGTCTCAGTGAGCGGGCGCCCCTGCCATCCAGCTAGCATGCCTTTCGTCGAACCACTGGGCTGAGGTTATGTGACTGAGACCAACGGCAAGCAAACTGAATCGGCAAGGGGTGAGGGGCAGGCTGAGTGGTCGCCCAGGTCAAAATACCATTGTACAAGCAGGGCATCCCGAAATGCAACCGGTGGGCGGCAACCAACGTCTGAAATCAGCAACATTATGGACCTGGACGCACTCCATCCTGAATCAATCTTGATGTCAGGTACTCTCGCTCGCAAAACGCCGTGAGCCTCAGAGTGCCCAGTTGGTCACTTGAGAGGAGCCGATACCTGACAATCGTGCAAGCCGGCCCGGTTCGTAGTGCAGTTGACAGGCGCCTTGGGCGGCAACCGTGCCCAAAGGCACCCACGGCCGGGAGAAAGACTGCCTCGACCTGGGAGCGCGAGGCAATGCCCCTTTTCTCTTCTTGTTTGCATTGATCCATCTATTTATTCTGACCAGTAGTCGCATTAGTATGGGGAATGAATACCATCATCTAGCATTACTCTCACAACTTAGACTGTCATGGCTAGGCGTTTGAAGCACGATGAAAACGACCTGATCTGGACACATCACAACTCGCCTGATGCGGTGTATAACCTACAGCGACTTTGCTCTTGGCACGGGCCGCCCAGTGAGCCCGGTGTGTCGTCGTAGCAGTAGCAGTAGCAG